GTCAAAAGCAAATGTCCCATAAACTAGGTTTTGTCTATACTACCTTGCTGCAGTCAGTGTTAACAAATGAAGTTTGGAATGCACACATTTCATTAACACCTCTGACATCATCCACACCAAAGAGGAAGAATCCCAAATTGAGCGAGTATTTAGATCAACATGAGAGTCTCTAAGCTGAGCCTGTTTCCAATCTATGGAGACCCATTCATTTGAAGCATGAAACTTGCCCTTAAGAAATAATGAAACTTACTTCCAACTTTCAGATTTAAAAAAAAATTTAATGCCATTGCTTAACAACAGCTGGGAGAAAAGTTGTGGGGAAACAGTGCACAAGACCACAGATTTCCAATTGTGTCACTAAGGCTTTCTAAGTAGGTTAGAAAAAAACAAATCCTGATATACAAAACCAGTTCAAAGGAAGAGTGGAAAACTACAGAACATGAGCCATAGCTCCCCTCCACCAACTTCCTCCTTAGTCCACCTCTTCCATGTCCTTGCTCCTCCTCTGTAAAATCACATTAGGTGTTTATAAGACTAACTCTGTGGAGAGAGTAAAGGAAGAGGCAACGACCACCAAAGTCTGGAAGGCTCTTTAATGCAAATGTGTGATGATCACATCATCAGACTGGATCCTCACACTTGAGGGATGGGAGAGGAGCAGAGGGTGACAGGGTACAAGAGAGAATTTACACTATTCCAGGCATCTAGCAGAGGATGACAGTTTCTGGCAACTCATTTGACAGTTTTGTAATCCACAAGAGATTTTTTTTGAAAGGAAATATAGAAACACTTTTTTTTTTGCCAAACAAAATAAACAACAAAATTGCCTTGCTTTTGCTTCTCCCTTGCTCTGCATATCTCCAGAGGTGGCTCTATTTTGTACACATCCACAAATTAGGACTAAAGTCCATTCCAGATCTTCCCAGCACTGAAGATTTACTTCCTCCGCAGAGGCTGACATTTGTACAGAGCACTGTTTGTTTGTCTTATGACTTAAGTCATAAGGCTACCGCAAAGTACCTGGTAAGGAATCTTAAGGGGGGGGGGGAAGTGGAAAGACAATTTACACATAGAACATCGGCTTTCTCTGTTAAGAAATGAGATGAAAGTGATTCTGAGCAAACTGAACATTAATTTTTATGTGGCCTCGCACATACTTTTAACTTCTCGTAATTATCCAGCTTTAGGATGCCGTGAGGTTTCTAATATGAAATGTTCATAGCACATGGCTATGGCCACCACAGGCTGCTGGCATCATGATATGTTTAGAATTATTTCTGTATAAAACCTAAAAAAAGTTCCATTTCAAAGATCAGACCTGTTATTAAACCAAGATAAGTGACTATTTATGAAAGAGGCCTATTTGTGCAAAAGCAGTTTCAGACTTCTCTGAATACAGTGGCATTTCTTTAAAGTCCATATTCACTCTAGGGAATAAAACCATCTGCCCTCTGCCTTGAGTTTTCATTGTGCTCTTCTACAGCTCTGAAGCATTGTGGAGTAGGCGTACAGGTGGGCTTGCTCCAGGCCTGCGGTAAAACATTCCTGGCCCTGACATCAGGCAGCTCTGGTGATGCCCAAGTCTGCATCGCCGGCATGTTACCGCATCCCTTCTTGAATCTGTAAGCCCGCGTGCCGGCCAGGCTCCCCTAGCCGATGTCCAAGTGACTCCACAGACACACAGAACACCTGTTATGGCCCTAGCTGGGGTACATTTTTAAGTCATAGGGCTTTCACCAACAAATCCTCCACACTCAGTCTGTCTGTCTAAGTGAAGCAGACTGTGAGATACAGTTAATAAAAGTTTTTCTATGCCTTTTTTTTCTAAAACACAGACAAAATCAGACCTGACTTTTAAGACCTAATTCTCCCATGGCCTATAGCCATTCCCACTGTAACCATTTTGTTCATTCCAACTTCACAACTCATACATTTTAACAGGCAAAACTGGTTCCTAAAACGAGCTGCAGGGATACTCTTGGATCACACCTCCCCCGGGACTATACTTTGTGCTCTTCGATGGAAACAATATGTAGAGATGTCTGTTGTGCTAGAGAATAGTTTCTGTCTGTACTGAGACAATGCAGATCACTACTAAAAGAGTAGATTTAGCTTATGTACATTTAACTTATGTACGCTGAAAACCTCATTCTGGTACCAGGAGGCAAGAAGAACATTCCTATATAACAGATTTTTTTTTTTTGTGCTTTGTTCATGCAAAAACAAAATGTGCTATGTGCTGCTGTGGGCCTGGAACACACAAATAGACATTCCAGTGTAACCAAATGCCTGGTAGTGGCAGGCACTGTTGAGGGCTTCATCCTCCTCCCTTGCTTTGTGATTTACTCTGATCTTCCTGAAGCCTGCCCAACGTGATCATCAGGCAGGGGAAAGAATCCAGGCAGCCATCAAAAACATGTCTCCATGATTCACGCAGATGCAGGATCAAGGTTTTGTCATATTATCACAGGTAAGATTTCAGATCTGACCAACAAGCAACCAGCCGTCTCCCTATTCATCCTGTCTCTATTTTTTTCTATTTCTATTTCTGTGTATTTCTCTCTCTCCCTCCCCTTCTTCTCCCATCTAGCTTCTAGCTTCTCGCCCTCCCCACCCCCTTCTCTCTCATACACACACTCACACTCAGACTCATTTGCTTACTTACTGTACATTCACACTTTCTCCTAATATAGTGGCAAAAAAGTACTCATCTTTCACTCTCTTCTAGCTATTATTCAGTTCATCTCAAAGCTCCAGAGCCACGAGTGTTAGAGCCAAAAGAGAAGTTCTGTCCTCCAAAGTCAGAGCATGTGCAGCCGAGAAAAACACATCTTTACCCCCTTCTTTATCCACTCCTTAAAGGAATAAAATTCTACCAGCCAGATCAGATCAGAAGGTTCTGGGGAATTGGAAACTCAGAGGCCAACGAGTTCTAAGGTAGCCTCAATAGCTGCCATTATAAGGGCAGAATCTTTGGCGCTATTAGAATGTCTTTCCTTCTTTGTGTCTCTTAAGTTTCCTTGATTGTTAGTCATATGTACACACATTTTTAAAGGCAGGCAGGAGACAAACTGGAAGGGCCAGTATTCCTATTTCAGAAACTAGTTAGCTGGCTCCCCAACATCACACAATCAATGCCATAGTTAAGAATAGAACCTGTGCTGGGCGCTTATGGCTCACACCTGCAATGCTCCCTACTCAAGAAGCTGAGATCTGAGAATAGTAGTTTGAAGCCAGCCCGGGTAGGAAAAGTATGTGAGACTCTTTTATCTCCAACAACCATCCCCAAACGGGATGGTAGTACTGTGGCTCACAGTGGTAAAGCACTAAGCCTTGAGCATAAAAGCTCAGTGACAGCATCCAGCGTCCTGAGTTCAAGCCCCAGGACTGACAAAAACAAAATGAACAAACCTCAAAATAGTGTCTCTCTAAGTGAAACTCCTTCCATAACTGTATTGCCTCCTGGCATGTGTGCATGTAGGTCTAGGAAAGGTCACAAACTTGGTCTCACTCTAGGACCCCAGAAGAATGCCCGATGTGTGAGTGTGAGTGAGTATGTGTGCATGTGTGTGTATTAGAGTGCTGGCAGGGAAAGAATCATCAGAGAGAGAAAAAAGAGGTCTGGGAAGAAACAAGCCAATCTGTGAATGCCTTTGTGATTTTAACATGGAAAAATATTGACAGTGCCATTTTCTTCCCCTCCTCCTGGAACAGAACAAAGACCAGAATTCTCACCAGCCCACTTGATGGCTAAATCTGGCTCCGAATTTTGATAGAGTATTAGCATGAAAATATTGCAGTATATTTGGTCAAAGTCTAAATACCTTCTTGATAAAATACATTTTATAATAATGTTCATTCCATTCCCAAACATAGGTAAATTTAGATTCTAAGCCTCTAGGTATAAATTTCTAGTTTTTGGGTTGGCGGGGGTGGGGGGAACGAGTGTAGTTGTGGAGGTGGGAGGGAAGGGATGGGAGGGGAAAAACAAAGGAGGAGGCAACAATGCTTGATAAGAAATGTACTCATTACCTTGCTCGTGTAACTGTAACCCCTCTGTACGGTATTTTCACAATAAAAAATAAATTTAAAAAAGTCTAGTTTGCCTTAGAGTGAAGGAAGCTACTCAGCAGTCTTCATTAAGATTGCTGAGGTCATTCTTGACAGCCTATTACGTTAAAATAGAGATCACTGACTCTGGGTGAGAGCTACAGAATATAGAGCCCCTCTGCCAGGAAGCAGAGCCAGTAGGAACATAGGCAGGGATACAAAGGGCAGGATCTCCTTACTGAAATGGATAAAAGTGTAAGTTTGGTTTTGCTAATAGGCTACTCAAAGGAAATTCATATTATTTGAATTTAACCTTTAGTATGTTTTCCCAGGAACAGAAACAAAGTGTGAGTTCCAAAGCATAGATGGAAATCACCCAGTTATTCCACTTCATGACTTAAAACTATAGTATACTTTTTGACTATAAGCTGGCCAACACTTCAGGGCACCATTGAATTAAACAGAAAATCAGATTTCCACTGACATGCCTAGAAGATACACAACTCCCATGGGTTCAGTGGCCTTTGCTACAGCTGTTGGCTTTTTGTTTCATTTTGAATTCAAAATGTCTATGGCCTAAACCTTCCCAACTTAGCTCAGAGAAATCAAGTGCTATAGAAGAGGAATTCTGCATCCTAAGTTACTAGAACCAGAGAGGCAGAGGATCCACAAAAATGAATGTTTCAAATCGTCCTATCTTAGCATTACAGAGGATGTCTAAATGATTGTTCGCTAAATGATTACAGCAATGGGTTGTCCATATATTTTTTTCATTACAACACCCTCTTTTAAACAAGCTACCCTATGATACAGCTTCCTACTTTCATGCACTTTTAAGTATTCACTGTCATCTGGAACATTAATGTACTTGGTTATAATTTAAATAAATGACATAGGGAACTTTTTCTTGACTTAAGAATAAAAGATTAAGAAAGTAAAGGATTTCATGATAATTTTTACATTTTTTTTATTCTGCTTTTTTAAAATTTATCTATGGCTTCAAAGTTTAAGTAGCACTTACTTGGATTCTGGGTGTTTTCATGATTTCCTAAGTTGCCATTTTATTATGAAGGTAAATGTGTCATTTTATATGTGAGACATTTTATAAACAGCTTTTAAAAAATCAGTAAATTATATCTGTCATCCCCTTTGTTTTCCACTATTAGATTTTTTTTACGTGGCTTTGTTATTGTCAGGTTAAAAAACCCAGCTGACCATGCAAGTAACAATTTACACCTAACCAGGAACCAGCTGCTACATACCCAAGTAGCTCGGTAATGGAGAAGCTCTTCCAAGGTTCCTTGGCCTCTTACCATCTTAATCCAAAGTGAAGCAATTATCCTTTCTGCTTTTGCATGTGAATTTGCACTTGAGTTAGTTATTAAAACTCATGCTTTATAAGCAAAATCTTTTGCTGACAAATATTTAAAAAGTATATAAAAACCGTAGGTCGAGTATCTCCTCTGCCATGCTTTTCCTCAGCAAGGTCACTTGTAAGAGCTCAAAACAAATCCTTAACACGTTCAGAGTTCTCTTCATTCCAATCACTGAATATTAATCCTCCAACATAAACTCAAGAGAGAAACAGGCAGCCACAGAATGGACTCTAAATTGAAAGTGCAAAGCCTACCAAGACAATTCCATAGACACTTCTCTGAAGCCAAACCTAAATCCAAGTGATGACACAGCTCATTACAGAGATTGTGTGATCATTACAAAGCTGGGAACAAATGTCCTGTTTCCAAGTGCTAATGCAGAAGGCTACACCTGGAGCACGTGACTCACTTAGGGTACCACGAAGCTCACTATCCTTTTCCAGAAGGTGCCCTTGAGGAGTTATTGCTGACTAACACCCATTTGGGGGTGGTCCGCCTCTGGCTCTTCCTCTTCCACATCTGCACTGTATTCTTCAAATGCATCATCATCTGCATCTGGAAGTCCCAGCAACTACAGGAAGAGAACAAGAGGCGGGAAGACAATTAAACATCACATCTGAATTCAATGGCAACTCAGCTAAGATTCCTAAGGTATCTAACTAGTATTGTTTTTAACTAACTTAGCCCCACATGAACTAGTACCCAAAGAGCTCAGTTTTAATAGGAAGCTAAGAGTCTCTATATTTACGGAAGGTTGCAACACACAAAAAAACCTATCACATCTGCAGAGATGTTTAATATCTCTACATCCAGGATATAAATGGTAGTATATGATGAAGAGGGTTGATGTCTCATCAAGATGTCAAATATAAACCTCTGTCTTCTTCCCTAAAAGCTCTATATATGTATCCCCAAAAAGGAAATAATATGGCTTCTTACCCAACTTGAATTACTTTTCTTTCTCTTCTCTTACTGTCCTGGCTAGTATTCCAATATAATACTGAATAAGAAAGGGGAGAGTAGATACCCTTGTCTCTTTCTGACTTTAGAGAAAATGTTTTCCATTTTCTGCATTTAGTACAATGTGTATTACGTTGCCATGTAGTCCTTCTATTTCCAGTTAGGCTTTTTATCATGAAGGGACACTGAATTTTGTCAAAGGCTATTCTGCATTTATTGAGGTAATCACGCATGTGTATTTGGTCCTTAATTGTAAGTTTATGTGCTGTATAAGATGTAGTGATTTGTATATGTTAAACAATCCTAGCACCCCTGAAGTGAAACTAATCTGATCACATTGTTTTAATGCATAGTGAATTTCATAAATACTTTATTGAAAATTTTTCTATCTATGTTCAGCAAGAAACATGTCTATACTTTTGTCCTTACCATGTTTTAGCATCAGGGTAATAATTGCTTCAAAAAATACTTCCTTATCATCGTTCAAAACTAGCCCAAGCAGGAAAGTCTATGAGATTCTTATCTCCAATTAAGCACAAAAAAAACCAGAAGTGGGGCCATGACTCAAGTGGCAGAGCACTAGCCTCACAAAAGCTCAGGGAAAGCAACTGAGCCTTGCGGTCTAAACCCCAGGAGCAGCGCATGCGCGCACGCAGACACACACACACACACACACACACACACACACCTACCTTCCTTTTCCATTCTATAGAATATATGAGGGAAAGGAAATAGATGAGGAAATATAAGAGGAAAAGCCTGAAAATCAGGCAATCAATCCATCTGGTCTAGGCTATTCCTAGTTGGGATCCTTTCTGGTGGTACTGGAGTATGACCTCAGACTCACTATCCATAGGCACTCTACCACTTCAGCCATGCCTCTGTACCTTCTATTCTCAACATGTTTTAGGTAAAACCTTGCCCAAGATAGCCCAAATGGAGGCAATCCTATTTACATTTCTTGCCATTGCTGGGTTGACAGACGTGCTGTCATGCCCAGACTCTTTTCTGTTGAGATGGGTCTTGTAAACTTTTTTTACTAGAATGGCATGAAACTGCAATGCTCTGGATCTCATGTAGCTACAGTAATGGGTACGTACTGGTGTACCCAGATACCAGCTGAGGAGGGGGGCTCTCATAAACCTTTTGCACAGGCTGGCCTTGAACCATGCCACCCACATAGTTAGCATTACAAGTGTGAGCCACAAGCTACGGGGCAACTTTTTGTTAATTCTTTCATCTCAGTGCTTTTTCAAATAATGTTCTCATGGTTTACATCCTGTTGGTTCAATTTTAGAAAGTCAAATGCACCTGGACATTTCCTCTAGATTTTCAATTCATTAGAAGCGTAATTCACTTAGTGGAGCTGCTGGGTGGTGACTACTTGAAGTCCTGGGTTCAGAATGATGAAGCTCAGGGGAAAACATCAAGGTCAGTTAACAATGATATCATGAATAACAGGGGCGAAGCTGAGGTATGAATATACCTATTTGTCTTCCTTGTCTACTACTGGGTCTTCTTCAACCCAAACCATAGCTTAGCATGTCTCATTGAAGGGGACCTAGCATACCAACTGTAAACCATTACCACTTGCTTCCCCCACCCCTCCTCTTTCTAGCCCCTTACCTAAACTTTATGTATGACATCAACGCAGATAGTTAGAGTGTCTGCCTTGGGCAGGAAGTATTTTGACCATTCTTTTCAGCGCAGTTTACCTCTTGCACTTTCAGAGTGGGTCAAGCTATTTTCTGGACTTCGTGGGCACCTTAATAAAGGGCTTTAAGGTGTGCTGACAAGTTATAGGAAAAGACACTGGAACTGGAGTCTGGATGCCACGGCTCTAGTTAACTGGGCCTTAATTCTGCCAAGCCACTGCCTCAGTTAGCTTCAGAAGAAGTATCTGTAAATCAGGAACCAAGACAATAGTCTACCTCACAGGGCAGGGCATCTCCAGAGCTCTGAGAAGGTAAAATTGCTACGTTGCTCAGTAGTCTAGCCACAGGAAATGCATCTCGTTAAACTCTATTGCTTCACATACTTGAAGTTCAGTCTGTGAAAGAGTCTTCCACTTCAGTCTGCTTCCAACCACTTCTATGCCTCTCTTCTGCTGTATGGTTGGCTACTGGTTCTCCCTTGCTGTGAGTTAGCAAGAAGAAGCAAACTTTTTTCTTCCAGCTTCTTGATCTGATTCCTAGACTTGCATTCAAAATCTACTGAACCAAATAACTTTATTATAATTCAGATTTATCAGTAATGGATAATATTATCAACTTACTATCTGTTAGGCACTGTCTTAAGCAAGTTAATTTGTTTTGTCCTCATAATAACCCTATGGGTTCAGTGTTACTATTATTATTCCTTTGCAGGTAAGACCTAAAGAAGTTGAGTGGATGCTCTAGATCACTTTGGAAGGGGCGAAGTAAGATTTAAACCCCAGTGATCTGTTGTAGCTATCAGCTATATCCATCAGGCTACCTTGAACTTGCCTACTTAGTGCTGACCAGCTAGAGGTTTCAATGTTACTGCAAAATACATGCTTTTTCTTGGAATGAGCAGTGCTAAAGTCTATATGTACCTGCATACAATCTGGATGTAAATATAGAATAGAAAATACCAGACTAACGCTGTCTAAAATTCCAGAAGGGGGGTGGTGGTAGACAATTCTAAATTTAACTTCTGGATCCAAATCTTCCCCAGTGAAGAGGGACTAAAGCGTGGTGAGGATCTTGGAGTCTTTGCTCCATTTCCTATTTGGAAAAGGAACTGGGCCAGTGAAAGATGGTGTGCCAGGTACCGTTAAATGGATCTCGACAGTTAAAACTCAAGCATTCCTATTTCAGCAATTGGGGTGCAGTGGTGGAGAAAAAAATAAGTTTGGAGAAGGATCTCTGATCACAAAGCATCCCTTGGGAAAATCCATCCATGAAGAGCTGTATTAGGAGGAGAACTACAAATGCTTGAGAATTAAAATTCTTCAAACACTGAGCAATAGTTACCTGTGGACTAATACCCTCTTTCGAACACTCTCAGACAATGATGTGAACTACTTGAAGTCTAGTCTACACAGTGGGCTGATATATTTATACTGGTAGAGGAGGTATATGTGGGCTAGAGAGTGCCTTCCAGAAGCTAGTGAATATATTAGTTACCGTGTAGTTTCAAAGGTCCCTGCATACGGCTTCAAGAAACTCCCTGAAGCAATATTTCTCACACTTTTACTGTGTGTGTTAGTTACCTAGTAATCTACCTAGAATGTAGATCATAACTCAGTGAGTTTCAGGTGGGACTTGCCTCTTTATTTCCAACCATTTCCCAGGTAATGGGACATTCCTATTCCAAGAACCTGACTCAGAACCTGAAGCATCTGGGGGAATTAAGATTATTTGTTTTAATGATCCACAGTGCTGCCAGTACCAAGAAACCCATACTAGAATCCTGGTCAATTGGTCCATCTGATTAGGTGGCAACACCATGAGGAAAATGAATGGATATGAGTAATAGGTGCTCTATCATTTTTTCAGGGGCTATTGCACTTTATAAAAAAGACAAGGTTCATAATTCCAGTGGATAGAAAAATTATAAAATACAGAATCCAAAGGGAAATGATAAAATTGCAATGAATAACACTGGATGGAATATATTCAAAGTCACACTTGTAATATTTCTCTTGACCTTTTGTGAACCTCTCAAGCAGCTTCACACAGCTTCTGTGGCCAGACCACAGAAATAGAACTGTGGCTACAGTAGTAGAGAGCTAGCCCTGAGGAAAAATAGCAAAGGAATAGTGTCTAGGCTATGAGTTCAAGTCCCAATATGTGTGTGTGCACACATACACACACACACACACATACACACACACACACAAAGATATTAAAATAGTGAAGAAAAGTTGAATAGCATGGTCATCATGATTGAGCATCATTACCATTGCGTATTATCTAATTCAATCATGTGACAGCCAGCACCACCAGTAACTGACAGTCACTTAAATGAGAAAAATGCAGGACCAGGGCAGTAGTGTCTGCTAATAGATGGAAGCAATGGCCTGTGTGATATTGTCATTTGCATGCAAGTCCTACTGGGATAGAATGTCCCAGTGGCAAGAGAAAAATAAGGAAGGAAGCAGACCTCCCTGGGTGATCTTCATTAGTGAAAGAGGTGCTTGGAAGGCAGTGGAATGGGGTCTCTGAGGAGGAAGGATGGCCATATACCTCCAATGAACCAGCCACATGCTAGAAACAGAGACCAACTCTGGCAGACTCAGTCTGACTCAGAAACTTCCCGCGAATCCACAGGATGGTGAATCAGATCACTCCCCATCTGTAAAGCCAGGACTACTGAGGGAGAGCAACTTGCAAGGGTACAACTCCCTCTTCTGGTGCATTTCTAAGGACTCTGAGGGGAAGCCATCAAAAATGTGCTCTACCTGAAAAACCTACAATGGAATTTCTATGATCCCATTGCCTGGCACTCTTATATTCCTAGAACTTCTATTGCACTTTAAATCATGTCATTTTTAAACACAGAGTTTTAAAATAATACAGTCTTTCCCCATATCTTCTAAGTTTTTTTATCATGTAGCCATCATAGAAGAAATGTGAAAAATTAAAA